ATGGGGCAGGGGATGGGGCAGGGGATGGGGCAGGGGATGGGGCAGGGTGGGCCACTAATGATTAAGTCGTCAATAACTAGTTGTAAGAGGAGGATTATCTCTAGTTGATTTCACAAGGGTGAGCAATTAACAACTTCTCAAATTCGCGAGAAGTTTTTCTTTACAGTGTAAAGTGTTTCCCTGCACAGACTGGCCAAGAGACGCAACGGAGCTGTCAGTGCCCGATAAGATGTGTGTTTTACACTGGGGCCCAATTTGGGGGGTGGCAGGTGGGGTGAGGGATGGGGCGGGGTTGGCTGTTAGGGATTAAGTCATCAATGAGGAGGATTATGTGTAGTTGATTTGCAATTCAGCAGAGCAAGATTTCATAGAATAGGATCTGAGTACCTTTATCTCCCTAGGACAGATTTTGTTTCACAAGGTCCTTGAAATGCCAAGGACTAAGCTAGGGTCTTCTGGATGCAAAGCACAAACCACAATGAAATGAGCAGGCACACTCTATGCCCATCTGGAAGTCCCAAGGACTCCGATGATCCCATCTTACAATGATGGCTTCTTGAAATAGGGGCATCATTTCCTGTTGTGCATGCTTAGGGGGGATGCTAGATTGCTCTATCTGAAATGTCTCCAATTTAAACCCAAAATACCAACCTGTAGTGCTTGTATTAGCGATTGAGGAAGCCCAGAAAGTTGAACTTGGCGTGTTTGAACTTGGACTCTGCAAAGGACTAACCGAACTATTGAGAGCATTTAGGAGGGAGTTTGGAGATGTGGATGTGTTGACAGATAAAGTGGTTGGACCCAAAAGACCTATTAAAAAAAAAACAAGTAAAAGAGATTTTACACCCCTGTGGATGCACAACCAATGATTTTAAAGACCAACGCAAAACTGAATGAGTTATTTTACTCTTCTATTGGATGATGAAAACTCTCAAGACCCTCAAGACCCTCCCTAGGTGGGCAAGATGCCTACTTCTCTCCTTGGATGTTGCTCCTAACAAAAAATGGAACGTCTATAGAGATTCTCAGTCATCTGGACCATGCTTGTCCGAAAGGTGTTTTTTTAAGAGGCAACTGGACTTTCTTTGTTTTTCCTTGAAGACGTTTCACTTCTCATCCAAGAAGCTTCTTCAGTTCTGAACTAAAAAAGCTTCTTAGATGAGAAGCAAAATGTCTTCGAGGAAAATTTAAAGAAATTTTGCCACAAGAAATGACCTTCTGTTTTGTTCTTCAAAGAAGTGCAGCCAATAGTTTACCTAGATAGCCCATGGACACTTAACTCAACTACACCTTCACATCTATGACTGCAATTCTTCATTCACTGCTGACTACCTCCACAAATCCCTATGTCACATTTCCAAACATTTCTCCAATTCTTCCATTTCCCCATATCAGTTAAACAGATGTTTTCCTTCCATTATTGTTTTTTCTTAAGTACAAGAAAGAAAACACACACACACATATCAACATAAACGTACATGTTGAAGCTATTGTTCAGCCTACTTTTTAAAATAAATCCGTAAACCAGGGATGTCCAATCTTGGCCATTTTAAGATCTGTGGACGTCAAATCCCAGAATTCCCCAACCAGCCATGAATTCAACTCAGTGTCAGGGTGCCAAATAGCATCCAAAAGTAAATCAGAGTCCATGGCAAAGGATTGCTCAAAGTTCCAATTTATTAAGAGAACCATGTTGGCACATCTGGGAAAACCCGAATCTGAAAGCTTCCAGATTTTCCCCACCCAGTTGAAAGTTCAAGATCTTGCCCCCACACCCACAGGTCCATCACAAGGTTCAATCTCCCACTGCTATGCTGGCAGTTCCACCCATCCAATTCCAGTCAGGTGCAGAGGTGCAGAGACAAAGGATGACCTTGGCTTTCTGGAAAGAATTTTGTTATGGCTACATAGCATCTAACTCCGTACAATCCTCCCTCCCATTTTCCCACAATAGAAAATGCATAGTAGAGTAATAGAAAGTGGGGTGGGCCAAAGATCCAAAAGAAAAGATCGCTGCAGGCCTGACATTCAGGGCGTTGAAGTCCACAGGTCTGGACATCCAGTGGCCAAGGTTGGAAACCCCTGCCTTAAACCTTGAAAACCCATACTGAAGAGGTTTGAAAATATTAGGTTGTAGATTATACCAAGTCCAGTTAGTCCAAGGCCAGCTGAGGTCAAGATGTCCAAGCCAGGGCAAGGAAGGCCAACTGGGCAAGAGATGGGGGAGGGGTGTGTTGCTACGGCAATGCCGTTGCTTTCCAGACCCAGGAGACATTTCCGTGCTTCGTACATATTTAAGGCATTTCGCTCAACGCTCTTCACAATCACAGACTGCAAAAAGAAAACACAGAGTATGAGTTTCTGACAACAATTCAAACAATTCCAGACAACTGGCAAGAGTCACAAGTCTTGTTTACAAATCCTCTCCTGAAGAAAGCTCCTCCTAGTAGCAACACAGAGAGAAAGTAGTTGTGGCTCCTAAACTACATACTTTGATTTATACAAAAAAAAATCTGGAATGGTAGGGTGCATTTTGGTTGGGATTCTTGGCTACAATATACAGCCACTGAAACAATATCCCTGTTCTATAATATTTCAGATGATGAAATAAATGAGGTTTTGTGTAAAAGGTCCATTCAACATTTCAACATTGTGTAGAATCACATCACCCAACAATACCCAGTCCTTGATTTAAATGTAGTTTATCTCTGCTCTGGGCAGCCAAAATCTAAGCTCAGATTCCTGGCCTTGTTTAGAACATTGTGGGAAATTATGGAGAGTTTGCTAATTTATTACATCACAGTGCTTTCCATGTCAAATAAAAAATATCAGATCATAACATTTTTTCCCCTCAACATACAGGTGTAGAGAAACTGGATTTCTCATTTTCTAGAGCTCTGAGATGCCCTACATTTAACTTTACGCCAACTTTCCTTCACAAACAAGTCACCACAATAATTGTGACAATGAAAAAGCATGTTTTGACACAGAACAAGAACTGGTTTGATTCATCTTGGTGGCAAAACAATGGCTGCTTTATTTATTTATCTGCCTCTTGGGTTGTTATTTGCATCTTGTCAAGTTGTCAAAGGAGAATCTTCCCTTGTTGTGTGCATCTGCCTAAGAAGATCAGGGCTGTTAAGAGCTTTGAAAAAAAACATCTGGTCAGATTTTTTTCCTTGCTTGTGTTTCTCTTAGCTTTAAAATTACATAATAGTGAAAGACTGCCGACATCCTTGTTTTTCTTGGAAGCTTCAGACCAACATTGAAGACAAACTTTCTTGTACTTTTGTAGGAATTAACTTGATATTAAAAATATAATCGGATGAAGTCATTTCAAAGATGACATTTACTAATTAATAAAGATCTTTTTTTTATTTACGTTAGCTATTACCCTGTGGTAACTCGATGTGCTTGTTTCTGTTAAATAACACAGACACCAAGACCAAAGAAAGAAAGCTTAACAGTGTGCAAGTTATTACACAATATACTTAATTTCACATGACAGTGAAATAATTATTAGGATCATCCAACACAAATTAGAGCCCAGATGTTAAAGATGGTTTTAGGAAAGGCCAAGGAACAAGAGATATTATTGCTGATGTGTGCTGACCTATTTAGAAAATCAAACAATACCCAAAATAAGTCAATACGTGCTTCACTGACAATAGAAAGGTCTTTGATAAGTGTCAATCATGTTAAACTCTCAAGGATCCTTAGGAAAATGGGAATCATAGAATATCTCATTATTTTCATATAAAGGTAAAGGTTCCCCTTGAATATATGTGCTAGTTGTTCCCAACTCTAGGGGGCAGTGCTCATCTCCATTTCAAAGCCGAAGAGCCAGAGCTGTCCAAAGACGTCTCCATGATCATGTGCTCGGCATGATTAAACGCCAAAGCTGTTACGTTCCCACCAAAGGTGGTCCCTATTTTTCTACTTGCATTTTTACATGCTTTCGAACTGCTAGGTTGGCAGAAGCTGGGAGAAATAATGGGAGCTCACTCCGTTACGCGGCTCTAGGGATTTGAACTGCTGCACCCACCTTTCAATCGACAAGCTCAGCATCTTAGCCACTGAGCCACTGCGTCCCTCCTTTATCTACATATAAAACTACACAAAGAAGAACAAGCCACAAGTCTGCATGGCACACAGTGAAACAAGCTGACTCCAGAGTGGAAACAAAGTGGAACAGGACTGTACAGTCTCCACTTTCTTATTCAACCTAAATATTAAACAATTCTGGATTCATAACAGATCAGTCTAAAAACAAATTCTCATGATAATAACTCTATTATTACAATAACCAGAAGGTAGGAAACTCTGTTCAGTTGTGTCCAACACAAGGGGGCAGTGTTCATCTCCGTTTCTTAGTCAAGATAGCCAGCCATTCTCTGAAGACATTTCTGTGGTCCTGTGGCCAGCAGGACTATATGCCAAGGTGTGCAGAAAGCTCCTACTTTCCCACTGAAGTGGTACCTATTTATCTACCTTCATGTTGTGGCCCAACAGCAGCCAGCAGAGCTGGTAGCAGAGTTGGACATTGAGGAGGTTGGGGAGGAATATGGGCCAGGCCTGGGGGCTGAGGAAAGCTCAGACGAGAGCTCTACATCGGAGGCAGAGAGGGAGCTAGACAGCAGTGAAGCAGAAGAACAGCTAGAGCCTGTTCCCAGTGTGCGCATGCGCAGAGCTGCCAGAAGACAAGAACAACTAAGAAAAAAGCAGGGTCGACTTAAGAGTAAAGCCACACCTTGGAGGAGATTCCCCTCACAGGAAACAAAAGAGTAGTGAAAGGGGAGTGAGCTTTTGCAGGGAACAATTGATTCCTTTGGTCGTTTCAAGAATGGAAAGTTCGGTTTGTGACTATAAGAGATTCTGTGCCAAGTGTTGCCTTGCCCGTTATTTTGCCGGGACCAAGACTCTGCTTCATGCTTTTTAAGGTCAGAACACTACATTTGCATGCTATCGAACTGCTAGGTGGCCAGGAGCTGGGGCAGAAATGGGAGCTCACTCCGTTGCATATTGCTCTGGTCTTGGACCCTTTCCAGCTGACAAGCTCAGCGTCTTTAAACGCTGAACTATCCTCCCCCCCCCCTGATGATCAGAAGGGGGCTGGCTTAATTTTCAAGCAGGATAGTTAAAAGCTAAATATAGCCTTCTCCAGGAAAGACTAGAGTCCGTTCTACTCACCTTACTCGTCTGCTTTGGCTTTGGTTTAATACTGATGAAGACATCTAGCTGCTCCATCAGCTGGGTAATAAAATGTGGTTCTACGTCAATTTCTTCCTTCATATCAAACATCAGCACAAGAGGAAGGCAGCCCTGGAAGATTAAATGCAGAATCCAATATAAAGTTTAGGAAGCCCTTCATGTTTTGTGCAGCACACAGCTGAGCAGCAATCTCCTGTTCACCATTCCCACCATTCTCCTACATTTTACTCACATGGTCTTTCTAAAAAAGAGGTTTCCAGAAATGACAGTTGTTTGACATTTCCATACTGACAATAATAGTTTTCTCAGGATGTTTCACTGATTGAATTCTCAGCAATTCGAGAATATGGGAGACACACAATGACTGGTGACATCAGGATGGAATCTACTACGCAACCAAGAACTTACAAGTTCAGCTTCTGCCTAGATGAAACCCCCCCCCCCCCCAGTTTGGGAATGGAGGGTTAACTATAACTTTTAAAGAGCCCCTTTGAAACCAAGAGTCATGCAGATATATTGAGAATAAATTGTGTGATCCTTTCAGCAATAGCTACATACACAAATCCTTATGAGCTAATTGTTCACATGCAAGCCTATTATGAGCATGCAGTAGACTGTCCTGTCAACTTGCAAGACATGGAAAAATCCAGTAATGAATATGTGAGAGCCAGAAAGATAAGACAATTTGGCACTTGAAACAGAAATATGCACACAAAACACACAAAAACAAAAATGTGTAGCGAATCTAGCCCTTTGTACCTGATGAGAGGGAAAATGTTATATTTTTCAACAATCAAAACCGCACTGTCCATAAATTTGCAATTTGTATCTTTTCAATTCAGTTCTGGACCAATCAAGAACAGTTCTAATTCAACTTGAGAATTGCTCAAAAATTTTAAAGTGGATATTCTCTACCTTGCCCTTTAGTCTCAACTTTTTAACAGAATAGGAGAGTTGGAAGGGACCTTGGAGGTCTTCTCGTCTACTTCCAACTCTTTTTGTTGATGCTCATGTTCTTCTTGGCATCTTTCACTCTACAAGGAATTCCTCTGGATATGCTCCAGTTTGGTACAGCTTAAATGTGGAACGGCATGTGCTAGGTTTGAGTATTAAAATGCTACAGAATAAATAAAGAGAACCAGATCTTACCATCTCATGTGCTCCCTTGCTGCATTGAAAGAAACAATGGCTGTGTTAGTGACTATCCAAGGCATGCTCAGGCCACAGGTTTATGTAATCCTATCTAGCACGCCTGTGGCTACTCTCTTTCGATTATGGGATTTCAACATTCAGCATCATCTTTCCAAGTCTCAAATTCCAAAAACCCACAAGACAACTTCAGACTTCAAGGAAATTCTGGACTGGATTCAGTCAGATCTCACTGTTGTGCCCAAGAGTTTTCAAATAACAGAATAACAGAGCTGGAATGGACCTTGGAGGTCTCCTTGTCCAAGCCCTTGCCCAAGCAGGAGATCCTATACCAGTGATGACAAATCTTTTATGTACTGAGTGCCCAAACCGGAACACGTGTGCATTCCTGGGCATGCGCCCGAGTGCCGGAAACCCAAAGACCAGCTGGCTGGCATATACACGCCTGTATTTTGGGCGGTTTTAGCTGGGTTTTGGGCAGTTTTCAGGTCATTTTGGGGGCAAAAATGGCCTGAAAAACAGTCCACAAAATGGGCTGAAAACAGCCCGAAAAATGGCATGAACACAGCCCCCAAAACAACCTGAAAAACAGCTTGAAAACGGCCTGAAAAAGGCCCAGGAAACAGCCTGAAAAACTGCCTGGTTTTTTGGCTACTTTTGGCAATTTTTCAGACTGTTCTCATGGTGTTTTCCAGTGCTCCAGTGCTCGTGAAGACCAGCTGGCCAGTGTGTATGTGCACACTGTGTAGGAAGTTATTACCCAGCCCTCTCCCAGAAAAATGAAATATCCTAGGAAATATTGAAAAGGCAGAATATTTCTCTGGATGTGAAAAGGAAGAAACATGTTTTAAAAGACAGAATAGCTCCCTGTAGTTTCCTGCCCATCCCACTTTGTCAATGGGCCATTAAACCCTGAGCTAGTCCACTTTACATAAAGAGTTTTCCCCTTCAGCTCCCGAGTGATGGAATTAAGGCATGATAATACTGGCCCTTTACCCAACACACCACATGGCATCTGAGAACTCAACCAAACCTGGATTCAAAACGCAGCCTAAAGAGTTGCCCCTGCATGGCCCCATGGGAGTCTAACAACCAATCAGAATGCAAGCTCAAGATCAAAGGCCAGAGAGGGCATAAAACCAGGGACTCAGTTCTCTTCCTCCCCTTTTCCCTTCCCTTCCCTTCTCCACCAACACTGAAGCATATGATCACCTTTTCTGTTCAGGACTCAAACCATGTGGTTCTGTCCACCATTAAAACCATCTTTCCAAGCAGCCTCCATGTCTCCAGTGTCTTTTCCCCCACTTGGAGCCAAACCCAGAAGGACATTTCTTCCAACAATTGGAAACCAGAAGACCAGCTGGCGATGGCATGCATGCCCACAGAGAGGGTTCTGCGTGCCACCTCTGGCATGCGTACCATAGATTCGCCATCACGGTCCTGTACTACTTCAGAAAAATGGCTGACCAGACTCTTACTCTTCCGTTGCTTACCTTGCCTTCTGCTGGCTTTAGAAAATCATACCAGTTAACTGAATAACCATTCTTGAGATGGGTAATTTAAATATCTGCCTCACCAGAGAAGCAGGTTCAATGCCTTTGAATTCAGAGGGGGGACACAGAATCCTATAATGGGACTCCTACATGATCACATTTTCCTAAACCATGGAAAACTAGGTTAAGTTTTAACACTAACAGGCTATTTGTTGTGGCTTGCCAGGGGAGCTGGTGGAATATTCAGACAGTGGAGATTGGGGAGGAACCTGGGCCAGTCCTGGAATCTGGGGAAGGCTCCGATGAGGGCTCTGAATCAGAAGCAGAGATGGGGCCAGGGCCATTTGACAGTTATCAGCTGCCTTCGGGGTCGGAGATCAGTGTGGCAGAAGAACAGCTGGAGCCTGTTCCCGATGTGCACATGCACAGAGCTGCCAGGAGAAGGGAACAGTTAAGGAACAAGGGCCGATCTGGGATTAAAGGCACAGGTGGACGGTGAGTGGCTCCTTCCATAGGGAATAAAGAGGCGCAAAAGGGGAGTGGAGTTTGCAGGAGACAATTCGTTCGATTAATTAGTGTGAAGACTAATTCGTGACTCTCAGAGACTCCTTGCAAGTATTTTCTTGTACAGCATTGCATTTGGAAGATATCGGCCTGGCAGCTCTCCAAGCCTGATAAGGTCTGTGGTTGTAAATTCACCTTTGAAAGACTGTTTGCTGGGAGAGAGGAATTCACATTATCTGAATAATAGGACACGGAGTCTGCTTCGTGATTTTATGAAGCTTAGGTCAGAACAGGTAGCTAAGAACTAGTACACACTGAGGTGACAAACCTGGGTTTGAACTCTTGAGCCTGATTCCTACTCAATTCGCCAAGGGGGAGAGGGAGGGGAATATACAGTAATTTGTGATGTGGGTAAGAGAGTTTCAGCCAAACAAGACTTCCTCTGTAATTTTTTTTCCATAAAAGAGGTTGCCCAATGACTGGTACAGGTAGTCCTCGACTTACAACAGTTCATTTAGTGACCATTCAAAATTACAACAGCCCTGAAAAAAACTGACTTATGACCACTTTTCAGACATGACAGCTGCATCATTCCCATGGTCAAAATTCAGACACTTGGCAACTGACTAGCATTTATGACGGTTGCAGTGTCCCAGGGTCATGTGATCCTATTTTGCGACCTTCTGACCAGCGAAGTCCACGAGGAAGGCAGATTCACTTAACAACCGTGTTACTGATTTAAGAACTGCAGGGATTCGCTTAACAACGGTGGCAAGAAAGGCTGCAAGATGGGGCAAAATTCACTTAAATGAATGTCTCACGTAGCAACAGAAATTCCGGGCTCAACTGTGGTCGTAAGTCAAGGACTACCAGGAGTCAGTGTCAAGGGACCTGTGATTGCAAGCTTCAGTGGGAATGAGGGGCTCGTGGGGACCCAGGCATAGCCGATGTTCCTTCCACCATCTGCTGCCCCACGCACAGCCCCACCCTTCAGGGCACTCACCATGAGATATTGTCTGGCAAGGCAGACTGATTCGATTGTGCCTTGGAGGTAGACTGTGGATTTCTTCTGGGGATTACTAGGATCGGGGAAGTGGATCTGAGCACCAGTTCTCTGCATGATATGCTTGATGTTGCTGCCGTTTCGGCCCATCATAAAGAGATGATGCTGAGCTGCTATGTCCAGCTGGGTGCTCACCGGGATCGCAGACGCCAAACTGCCAGCTAGATGCTCCAAGAGCAGAACTGTTCCTTCCTGCCCAGGAAGAGGAAACGAAACAAACTTATATTCACTATAGCAATAGCCCTTAGACTTATATACTGCTTCCCAATGCTTTACAGCTCTCTCTAAGAGGTTTACAGAGTCAGCCTCTTGCCCCTAACAGTCTGGGTCCTCATTTTGTGATGGGAGGCTGAGTCAACCTTGAGCCTGATGAGATTCGAACTGCCAAACTGCTGGCAGCCAGCAGTCAGCAGAAGTAGCCTGGAGTACCGCACTCTAACCAATGAGCTACCAGGGCTCATATGCTGGTGCCCTTTCTTCCTGACATGAAACTTTGACGTTTTTCATTTGGCAAAGTTTTGTGCTTCAAATTATTTGAAACAAAAGGCAACTGGATTTTCTTGCAGTTGCTTTTTGCCGTTTGAAATTGTTTTGGCTCTCATCCAAGAAGGATTGTCTTCTGAAGAAGCGTTCCAGATGAGAAGCGAAATAATTTCAAAGGGGAAAAAAACCCCAAGAAAATCCAGTTGCATTTTGGAAAAGGCACCTTTAGATGATGGGGAATCTCGATAGACATTTGGAACAAAATGTGTTGCTCATTCCAGCAGGCTTAATATCCTGTTTGTAGGAAATTATCCTGTAATAACAAACTCTGGTAGTCACCAGGTAAACACCCATGTAGCTTGTAAGGAAAGAGTATTTGTTTATGCATGGAAGCAAATAGAACCTTAAAGGTTGAGGAGGTTGGGGATGAAGATGGGCCAGTCCTGGGTAGTCTGGGGAAGGCTCTGATGATGGCTTTGTATTGGAGGCAGAGGTGGGACCAGGGCCGTCTCACAGTTATCAGCTGCCTTCGGAGTTGGAGATCAGTGTGGCAGAAGAACAGCTGGAGCCTGTTCCCAGTGTGCGCATGCACAGAACTGCCAGGAGAAGGGAACAGCTAAGGAACAAGGGCTGACTCAGGAGTAAAGCCACAGGTGGACGGTGAATGGCCCCTCCCGTAGGGAATTAAAGAGGAATGAAAGAGGAGGGGAGTTTGCAGGAGACAATGCGTTCAATTCATTCGGGTGAAGATCTGTTCCTGACTCCTTGCCAAGTAATTGCTGCTACAGCGTGGAGTTTTGAAGATATCGGCCTGGCAGCTCTCCCAGCCGGATAAAGGTCCGTAATTGTGAAATCTCTTGAAAGACGGTTGGCAGGAATTTTGCTGGAGAGGAATTCCCTTTAACCTAAATAAAAGGACTTTTATCGGAACGAGGAGTCAGCTTCGTGTTTTTGGGAAGCCTAGGTCACCACACCCATGAGCAACTGGGTTGGGCCAGCAAGCTGTTGGTTTTCCAACAGCTTTTTCTGTAGTTGGCCGTTTCACCAGGCCGCTGGCACACTTTCTTTCTTGCAAGATGGAGAGGGTGTGTGTGTGTGTGTGTGTGTGTGTGTGTNGCCTCCATGTCTCCAGTGTCTTTTTCCCCACTTGGAGCCGAACCCAGAAGGACATTTCTTTCATCAGTACTTTACAGGTTTCATCCACAAGTCAGCAAACTTGAAAATGCTCTCAGGCTGGAGAAAAGTACTCATGTCTTCCTGTGCCTTAACAGCTCCATGATATTATGAAAGTCAAAACTGGTGCCTTCTTCCTAGGATGCTGCAAAAACATCTACTGAATGTTTCCCTTTTTGTTTTTTTGAAGATGTTAAAAACACAAACCAGAAAGGGGAAAAGATGGAGTTGGTGACCCCTAAATACAGGAAACTGAATGGACTAACTTCATTTTAGGCTTTGAATTAAGTTGGAAAATTACGTCCAATTGAACTTCTTGCAATACCTGTTTTTACCATTCTCCACTATCCTATTTCATTGAACACAAGCATTTCCAGTTACAATTTATTTAGGGCTTGGCAGAGAGAGCCTTTCCTCAATGCAATCAAATGTTTTTCAGCATTAGTTTATGCTACCACGGAGAGGAAGTGTTAAATAAGGAGGCTTTATGAATGGATTTAATCATTTAGTGTTTTGTTTTTAAAATCAATTGTCAGGAAATAGCCTTCCCTAAAATGTGCTTGATCTAAAGAAAACAAAACTTAGTCCACCCCCAAATTTTCTATACCGAAAAGGGCTATTTAAAAGTGCTGGCATTGATATTGCAAGTCTTTATTAACAAGGAACATTGGCTTTGAACTAGAACAGTTCAAATGACCCTTATTTATTTTAAGCAACGCAGAAATCGCTTTGTTTGCATGGCATTCTCCATATAAACTCTAATTTTAGCAATGCTAAATGTTCAAATCAGAAGAGGAGGAATCTACATTTAGCCAAGTTTATAAATGTTATTAGGAAACTGCCATTCAGAAAAGTTATTGTCCAAAAGCTGTATAAAATAATTTCAGTAATTTCCTATAGGCAGCAACAGCTAATACATCTTCTCTCATTTGTACAAATAACAACTTGCCTCTTCCGTTTTCTCTTTAGAAATCCTAGCCTTGGATTTTATAGGATTCTTCAGCTTAATAATTCTCTACAAGTACATTGCTGGTTAAATATATCCTTATTTTACTTAGAATTTGATCCTTTTGAGCCAACAACTCTACAATGTTTAATCCCAGAGTAAGGCAGGAGACTTATTGGCTTCATACATATGCTAATACAAAATATGACTTGCCTGGGCCTTACCATGGTGTGTGGGTTAGTATGTGAAGTGTACTGTATAAATCCTGTTTTAATTTTAACTACAAGTTAGCGCCAGCACTAGAAACATTTCAGTGAAAGGAGGTTCTGCCAGATCAAGAGAGCGGATTATTTGCTAATCTTTCTTTCCCCTTCCCATTTATTTGTGACTTTATCAGTCTGAATCTCCTCTAAAGCAGATTTTGGCTGCTTGCTCCTATGTTTATTCCCTCCTTAAACATGGTTTATAGAATTAAATCTTTTTTTTCTGGATTTGCAATCATAAACTCAACTATTCTGAGTTGACATAAATCAGAGGGCTAAACTGGGGTTAGTGAATCTTGGGTGAATCTTGGGTTAATGTGTTGTTGCAGGGATGACAGAAGCAGCTTTCTTCCTTTTCACCAATGGCAACTTTCTAATCGGATCAAATAGTTTCTATTCTTCCACAGTGCATTAATACAATGTTTATATAGCTATAATTTATTAATTAATTGTCCAGATTTGTCCTGCAGAGAACTATCCTCCACTATTATTTAGCCTAGAATATTGTAGAATCACAATGGCTTTTGAGACTTAATTTTAAGTAATCTAAATAGGGAATAGGGAGAAGAGGTTTTAAAACCCTCCCTGGGTTCTAAAGGAATTTTTTTGAAATAATAGTAAGAATAAACATGTACAAAGCACTTACATTTTCCCCAGACCAATAAAGAGGGCCATTCCTACTTATAGATATATTTCCCAATAAATACAGTAAAAAAGGGGGGTGCGACAGCTCAATGATTAATGATGCTGAGCT